AGAACAAACCTATCCATTCTGAAGGAAATCAATCCCGAGTGCTCACTGGAAGGACAGATCCTGAAGCTGAGGTTCCAATATTTTGGCCATCTCATGAGAAGACTCCCTGGAAAAGACTGTGATGTTGGGAAGGTGTGAAGGCAAGAGGAGAAGGGGACGACAGAGGACAAGATGGTTGGACAGTGTCATCGAAGCTACCAACATGAATTTGACCCAACTCCAAAAGGCAGTGGAAGACAGGAGGGCCTGGCATGCTATGGTCCACGGGGTCACGAAGAGTCAGACACAACTTAATGACTAAACAACAACAGGAGAGTGCAGGAGAGAAATTATTTAAATATGAGATAGCATAAGTTTACCATGCAACTATGGAAATAGTATACTCAGCACTTTGAACATGACTTCCATATGTTTACTTGATTTCTGCTAGTGTGTAGAAGTAACAAAATAAAACAAAGAATCCAAAAACTTGGTGTGAAAATTAGTAGCTGGTGAAAAAAGTAATATTTTGCCAGACAGAAAAATATAAAAATACTGGTATGTCTAATGCCTTGACAGTAATGTAAAATACATTGCAATTTTTATCAGAAAGAATCCAAGCATGAAAGAAATCTAAATATAAGCCCACAGAAATCCGTTACACTTTAAATTCTAACCCAATAAAATTTAGCAGGAAACCGAACTATAAGTATTCAACATCATCAAAGAAGCCTTTTGTCCATTAATAAATCTTAGGAATCTTTCATGAAATATGCAAAGCTTGACGTAATACAATGTTTTTTTTTAAAAAAAATGGCAGTGATTATTTTGATTACTTTGATTAAATGAAGAACTATCTGAAGTATGTTTTGAAATTAGAGCTTGGAAAGGTTACTTCATATTATTCCCAGAATTCCCTAGTTCAAGTAATTTTTCCAAGCTCTGAAACTTGAGTAGGAACCCAACATGGCTTCAATTCAGCTAACTGAATATTCACTTCCTTTGTGCACTTTGCTGCAAACATTTATTCAAGAAGACACTATAAAAATAAAAACATCACAGCAGGAAATAACCTTTCAGATGGAGTGTCTTTCATACTTATTAATATTGGTGTAGGTAACAACCACAATCACAACACAGAATACCTATTATCTGCAAAGGCGTCTACCTCCCAGTTGTTTCACAGTCACACATTTCATTGCTATACATTTGCCATGACCAATTTTATGGCATTTGCCTTTTGTTTTTCTTTCAGCCTCGGTGTTCCCCCATTGCATATGCAGATTATCTCAGATATGGCTCCTGGGGCACCATAGGTAACTGGCTCTGATCTGCGAGCATCAAATTTTCACTTGTTTTGAAGCAGTGGTAAACCCAGGTGGTCCATAGGTCTTGCATGGATAGAATCTGCCCAGTCCTGTGCTATTCACAAAAGGCTAAACTTTGACTGAAGAGATATTTGCTAAAATTGCAGGCATGCAGTATCTGGAGCAACATGAATGCCAACTATTGTTTTGAAGCAGGCAAGCAGACTTTTTCCCCTGGGGTTCCATATCCACGGAGGATGCTCTATATGGATGTACATGTATGTAACAGCCCCCTTTGGACTGATGCTGATCCTCTATTAACTTGCTGGCATTTAAGAGGCACGGCTACCCTGGATGTTCCAGTTTGATCCCTTAATATGTTTGGTTTCCTTTTCAAAGTCCAGAATTATTAGCCTAAATCCAGCTGCTAGTCTCAACCAGAAGCAGAACCATTGAAATTGAGTGGAAAGGCAACACTTATGTAAAACCCATTGCCCAGTATCCTGTTCCATAGCTCCATACACAAAGCCACAGTAGGGTGAGCAGTAGTGCTAGCTCATCTTATTGCACATGAGCCACAGGAAACCAGAAATTCTTTAATTAGTGGCAATCAGCCTCTGCCAGTGATTTAATTCCCACTATGCCAGTGGAGCTACAAGATAAGATGCTGGCCATTGATCCAGTTAGGTAAAGGTAAAAATTCCCCTTGTCAGTTTGTCCAGTCGTGTCTGACTCTAGGGGGCTGTGCTCATCTCCATTTCCAACCCATAGAGCTAGTGTTTATCCAAAGACAATCTTCCATGGTCACATTGCCAGTGCAACTAGACACGAAACACCATTACCTTCCCACCATGGTGGTACCTATTTATCTACTTGCATTCGCATGCTTTCAAACTGCTTGCTTGGCGGGAGCTGGGACTAGCCATGGAAGATCACTCCGACGCGTGGATTCAATCTTACGACTGCAGGTCTTCTGACCTTGCAGCACAGAGGCTTCTGTGGTTTAACCCACAGCACCACCACATCCCACTAATTGATCCAGTTAGTCCACTCTAATTGATATTAGAAATTTGGCCATGGCCTCTTCTTTAGCACTAGAAGTAAATCTACAGCATACAGGAACTATATGGTGACTTTCAGTTCACTCTTATGTACAGATAATGAAATATATACCAAGCTCTAAAGAGGTAAAGAGAGTTCCCAATCCACCCACCAACTACCACAAAGGCAGTTAAGGGTTTGCCCCCACATAGTTGCATCCACTGGATAATTACAGACAAACAAACTGAACCACTGGGCTTTCCAATGAGAATGGAAAGGAAGAAAACAGAATCCTATGTGTGTGAGAGAGGGAGGGAGGGAAGAAGAAGGAGAGAGAGAGAGAGTACACCTCATGTTCTTGGCACAGTTTTACTAGTTGTACAACAGCATTCTCTATAAATACTCTAGCTGGCATAGCACAGCCTCATTAACATACCTTTTCATAATCCCTGCATATCTCTCTCTCTCTTTTTTTTTAAGGTGCAGAGAACTCTACAATCCTCAAGCTTAAATTCTTGGCATGATGTAACCACATTTGTAACTGGGCTAAAGTCAGGTTTTCCTGTCCAACAGTCCTGAAGTTGATAGAGATATTAATTTGGTTCCTGATGAGATTTAAGATATCCCATAAATCCCTTTTGCTAATCTTCTGTCTTTCAAAACAGAACAGCAATTTCTTTCTTTTCCTTTTTTAAACACCAGCAACAGAAACGTAGGGCATTCTGGCATAGGAGTCAGAGCTGGGGGCCTGCTTCCCTCCTCACTTACTTTTGAGAACACTCTCCATGGAAAATAGAAGTATGCAGTTTCACCAAGATCCAGCCAAGCTCCGATTCAGCATCAGCTATAGAGCAGATGTCTTGCATGATCTGCTGTTTCTGTTCTTTTAACTACCTTCCCCGTGTTCTGTAAGGTAGTTGACATTTACAAACCAAGAGCAAGTGCGCTGGTCAGAGTAGATTACATGTGAAGTCCTTTCCAGTTCTGATTCTAGGCATGCTTTAGCAGTGAAGACATGTCAAATACAGAGAAGGTGGAGGGAGGGTGGGGGGTTTTTTTAGACCACAATCTCTCAAAATTCTGGCCTTGTTGCCCATAGCATTGCTACAGTTAAGATTTGAAATCACCTGGTCTCAAAATATCTGATCATATAAAGTAGTTTGCTGGATAAGAAAAGGTGCATCAAGTTCTTGCCGCCAATGCAGGCACAATATTACAAGAACATTTCCTGGAGTTTTGAATCATGTACACAGAAGCAATATCCCACTTTTGTAAATCATAAGTTTTTTTTTGGAGGATTGAACCCATTCCTCTGTTCAACAACGTCTACTGTCAGGAAGTTTTCATAATGTCTAGTTGCAATCTCCTTTCCTGTAATTTCAACCCACTGTTTTGAATCCTATCCTCTGCAGCTGCAGGAAACAAGTTTGCCTCATCTGCCACATGACAGAATTTCAGATATGTAAATAAGGCTATGTGGGATTCCCAGTGTGTCGTAGTGGATAGAGTGATGAATAGGATTCTGGACAACAGGATTTGAATCCCCACTTGGACACAGAAGCTCACTAGGGGAGTGTAACTCCTAAAACCACTCCTTAAATATCTCACTTACCTTAGAAGTCCTATTAGGGTTGCTATAAGTTATAACTTGACAGCACAGAACCTACACATAAATAAGGCTATAGTTTCTTCTCTCAGCCTTCTATTTTCTAAACTCAACATACCTAATTTAACTCAACCATTCTTCACATAATTTAATTTCCAGATCTTTTATCATCCTGGTTACGTGCTTCTGACTGAGTATCATCTTATTGACAGTCTTCTTTAAGCTGTGCTGCACAGAACTGAACGCAGTATTCCAGGTTCGGTTTCAGCCAAAGTAAAAGGAAGTGCTAATATAGCTTCCCTGGATACTCTGTTCCTGTTGATGCAATCTAATATTGTGTTTGCATTTTTATACAGAATACATTTCTGTGTGTGCAAATTATAAGATTTTTGTGCAGAAACACATCTGCAAATTTGTCATAAGAAAATACCAAAACACCAAATGAGAGAAAAAAAAGGGGGGGACACAATAACTCTTATAATCTTGCCAAGCAGGAAGAAAACTTTTCAGCTGTTTCCTTTTCATTCTCAAGAAAGAACGGATCAAAGATTACCATCCCAATGACACTGGATTGGAGGTAATGTTAGAAATAGGGAAGAAAGGGGATAAGATTTTCATAGCCAGTGGTTACTGGGTTGTTGTTGTTTTTTGCCCAGTCCAAACATAAACAGTTTGCAAAATCCTCTTTGCATAAAGTTATTCAGTAGAAGCTCATGATGTCACCAACTGGCAGTGGTAACCAACATTCCTATTCCATTGTTGTAGGTTACAAGGTTGCCTTAGATCTGTGAAAGCCTTGGGGACACTTGAGATGAGGGAGAGTAGCTTTTAAAAATAATTTTGAAAAACTACCACAGGAACACCATCACATTACTTAGAAGAAAGAGGCATTTGTATTTGATCTCTCCTCACTTACCGTTTATGGGAACACAAGCGGCTATGTAACAGCCATAAATAAAGGCCAGGAATTCCCCAGTTCAAATCTTGGCTCAACCACTGACCTACTAATTGAGTGTAGTGCAAGACACACACACACTCCAAGACTTAGCTCACACCTTACGCCTATCCTGCACGTGGCAAGAATTACAGAGGTAATTGAATAAGATGGCATGAAACTTTTTTAAGCTTTAGCCTGCAGAAAAGCACACACAATGGTTAGCAATGTACAGGTAATTGAATAAGATGGCATGAAACTTTGTTAAGCTTTAGCCTGCGGAAAAGCACACACAATGGTTAGCAATGTATATGTTGTTACCATCTAGTTGTCACAGAGGTTCTGGCCTCAGTCAATGTATTCCCCAACACTGACAGTCAATACAATCCCAAACACTGCCATGGTTAGTGGTCACTGTCCTCCCTTTGATTGGCTTCAGAGGTATTTCTTGACTACACTCTAATAACTGACAGAAGTACTTAGAAATGATAGTTCACCAGAATACCATCGTCTTCCAAAATGTTTTCTTCCAGCAAGTGCACTGGCAGAGGCCCTTTCACATGCCTCATTTCAATAAACACTCTAAACTACATAAAATTAGTGCTTGACATCAGGGTACTCAGACTGGCTAGATAGCTCTGTGAGTTAGGTGAATTCCGAACTTCCATGGAGCCAGAAGTTAGGAGTTCAAATTCCCCACTGGGCCTCCAGGGAGAAGGGTGAGCCTGTGTGGCCTCAAGCAATCTACACAGTCCCAAGGCACCTCAGAAGAAGAGAGTGGTAAACCAATTCTGAGTACTCTCTTCCTGGAAAACCCTGAAAAATGTCACCAAAGAATTGAATTGACAGCACACCATTATTAATATAGGGTACTCAGCATGCAATCCTAGATTGGCATCCTAACAGATCGTTTTACTGACGGTAGAGTTGCTGTTCAAGTCAATGGAATTGAACCAGGATGAGCTTCCCCTTCTCCCTGTTGCTCGCATCCTGTGGCATGTTTTCAAGAAGGGGGGAATGAAAAGGGGGAAATGGACATCTACTAGGACAAGAATGAAATCAAGCTCCTAGAGCAAGTTCTATGGATTTAGTGTAATCTAGATTTCTGCAGGTATTTATACACGTTTATGACACTGATAGTCAAAGACACGGTGGTAAATTAATATGGAACAAGATCAGTTTGTGGGGGAATGAAAACCTGCTTGGTGGTCTGGTCATTTCACATTTGCTCTAACTAAGCAACAATATCAAAGCTTTGTCTCAGCCCCTCTTTGGCAAAAGATCTGCCACTGTCAAGACCAACGTGATGGCGAAAGAAAAGATAAATCATTTCAGATCAGAACTGACAGCCAAGCCCCACTGATTCAAGAGAGTTCAAGGATTAACTGCAGGATTTTACGGTATAGAATTAAAAAATTACATTAAGCTAAAGCACCTAATTATAGCTTCTGCACAAAGACTTGATGGTAACTAGTTTCCCACCCAAAACAAATGAACTGTAAACCTTTAATCTCATACATGGAGCCTATTCAGTTATATACCTGGTTCTCCTCTTTAAGAGATTCATATTAAAACAACAAATTTAAATATTGTTTTCAATTGTTGGAAGTCACTTTTGAAAGGTTTCTTTCAAAGAGAAAGACCGGTTAAAAATATTTTAAATAAAATAAATAAGTAAACAAACAACACATTGATTAAAAAGCTTTGATTTCAGATTTGTTCTCAGATCGAACAGATTCAGTGGCCGTAATTTTACAGTATAGCAAAAGATGAATGCTCCCCATATAGGGTGCACAGGGGAAGTAACCTTGCTGGTAGACTTCTTGTTTTTCATGCACCAGATTCAAACCTAGATATCTCCAGTATAAGAAGTGTAGACACTATTGGATTAAATGAATCAATGCTCTGCCACAGTATGAAACGGTTTCATATGCTCATTTATTACACAGGGAAACAGCTTGGCAACAGAGTACACAGGCTGAATGACAGTTTGGAAAGTCAACTTTCAAAGGTAATTTATTTGCATTTCAATGTTCAAAAAAGGCATTTGTTGTGACTATCAGGGAAAAGGAACTCTTTACATTGATTATTTTCCTTACATTCCGCTGCTTTATATATACACACAAAATCTTAAGAGTTGATAGGAAAATGGGATATTTTTATCAATATTCCTCTAAATAGAATCTTTACATGTTTTTAAAAAGTAATTTTGAAAAATAACAAGGAACTGCTATTTGTGGTAACTTCATTCCTAGTTGTTGTGTTCCTTTTGAAATATAACTAAGTTATCTCCTTGCTATGGAAGTAAACAACTTGCCCTTTTCAAGCTCTGCTTTGAACTTGGAACTTTCCCTAGTGTCTGTTATATGAGGCTTCAAGAAGAGGTGGGTAGGGGATGGAGGTGGGAAGTGCAAGATAACAGAAAGATACACCATTCAACTGAGGAACTGCAAAGGTGCAGGAGGGATTAGATCTCTTGTTCGAAGCTTGCATTATGCTTACTCTCTGCCTTACTGTTGGGGCCCTGCTGAAGAGAATAAGATATGAAATGGAAAAGATATAACAGGGGCATAAGAAAGCCATTGCACACCTCAGAGGAGAAGAGGAGATGGTCAGGAAGTAGACTGGTCTTCACAAAAGAAGTGGAGATGGAGCACAATGCTCGTATTTCTCCTTGTAGTTTGTCCTCATTCCAAACTCCTGGCCATTCTAGTGGCAAAATTCCTGGAATTAAGGTGGTTTCTGAACAGAAGCGCATGGCAATCTAGAGGCACTCAATACTATCCACAATGATGTCCTTCTAGAGTAGCTGCTAGGGGTTTCCAGTTTGTGCTTACCTTCTGGTATTTAAAGGGAAATGGCCCTTTTCCAGGGGTTAGTTTCAGAGGCTGGTGTTGTTCAACTCTTCGGCCAGTGGTCATATGCATCTCATATGCATTCAATATGGTTTCCTATTCCACATGGAACCACTAGGAGTGACTATCAGGCCATTTGTGAGGTGTTGTCTGTGAGGTGTTTTTCACCCACTGCCAGGGAAATTACTGAAGTTCTGAATCAGAATCAAGAGGCAGTAGAGAAGTCATATTACAGGAGTCATATTACAATGTATCTTAATAGAAACAAGCTAAAAGGTAATCCAGGACAGGAAAGAAGGAGTGTTTAAGACTCTGGAATTCATCCTTTTAAAGAAAAGGTTGGGTACCTCTTCCCTTTGAAGAACTGGCCCACAGCTTGGAATGCTTATGGAGTCAGTGTTGCTCCTAGAAACAGAAGTGACAGTTTTTTTTACCCGGAGTGTCATTGCCCTGCTTAGCCAAGAAGATCACACTTGGCCATAGTGATATGTGCCTCAGCAACATGGAAGCTGAATTATTGCAACTGATTCTACATGAGACATTTGAAATGTCTCTCATGTTATAGAATGCAGCGGAGACAATCCTGGTGGCCTACTGCCATGGGGGAGAGGTGTTCACACCTATTCTTCAAGGGCTATTTTCATTCTATTGTTATATTAATTTTACAGTCAAAGTGGCGAATAAGCAATAGAAGAGAGGAATATAAACGTACAAAAAAAATTCTGGGAAAGCAATGCTTGAGATGACTAAGTAGCAAGATGGAACATCATGCATCACACCGTCTGTTAAACTAGAACGCTATGACACATTGATGTGACAAACAACTTACTATAAAATAGTAATACTGGTTGTGCTTTCCTCATTTATGCGAGTCAAAATAGACTGACAAACAGACTGACAAATCCTTGCTCATTTTGGAATTTAACACAGCCTAAGAATCATACCAGCTTCCGTTATCTTGATAACAATGAACCTGGGTACAATGTCACTGCTCAGAATAAAAACAGAACGACCAAGTAGCCTTCTATCAGATACCACAAATACAAACAAGGAAAGTAAAACCAAGTGAAACTAACTGTAGCGGGCCTAAACATGAAATACAGAAGAAACAACAACTAGCCCATGCTCTGGAGAGTAACAGGGTGCATGGCCATCATTCCACATGGATGCAAATCCTCTTGTTCTGCTGGGCCAAAGGAACAACAAATATAGTTTTTTGGGCCCCTTTGTATATGTTACTCCCACTGGAACCATACGGAAGCTCCAACCAGATAAAATCAACCATTTGGGTGTGGGTGTTATGATGCCTAGCATAAGGATACCTTAATATTAATAGCATGTTTCAGACGAATTACAGGCACAAGGAAATTTGCCTCTTAAAAATTAAAAATTGTACCACAGTTCAGAAAACACATATCTCTGTTAGACCCTGTCCAAACCAGCTTGCCCTAGACAATCCAATGGTTCAAAGGATAGCTATAAAAATGCTATATTTGATTCTCCCCATATTTTACAGCCAGTACACAATTAATTATTTGTTGTACACTTCTTTACTTACATTTTGTATATTTTAACCATATAATATGTTTTATGAATTGGCCGTACACTTTTTAAATTGCATTTTGTATATTTTAACCACATGTTTTATGAACTGATTGTACATTTTTAAACTGCATTTTGTATATTTTAGCCACATAATATGTTTTATAAATTAGTTGTATATATTTTTAAACTGCATTTTGTATATTTTAGCCATAAATATGTTTTATGAACTGGTTACCTGACTGTAATAAATTCATTCATTCATATATGTTGCATAAAAAACCATCAACACTCTCTAATTAATTCTTGGTTACTATGTTTAAATGAACACAGACAAAGTAGTCTTAAACTATGCTGTTCTCGCATTGCAGCAGCTAAAAATTATCTGAGTAACTAACAAGTCCGTTCATTCATTCAATCATTCAATCATTCAATCAATCAATCAATCAATCAATCAATCAATCAATCATTCTACCATCCCTTGTAAAACTGTTGCAATCCCCTGAAAAATGGTTCTGAAATTATGCTATGGACCATTGTACCAGCTATGCATCTTTTTAAGGTTTACTCTACGAGAGTGCTAAAGAAATTTGGCTCTTCGGATTTTTCAGACTATAAACCCAATAATGACATATCATTGGCTATATTGGTTACTACTTTGGGGAGCTAATGTTCAGACCAATCGGAGAACCAAAGTTTCTCCATCCCTCTTGTATTGACCCTCAGGCCCTTTGGTTTTCCAGAACTTGATCTTGCCTTGGATTCTGCCTAGATCAGAACATGCTCATCTTCTGTTCCTAATATATGGTTCCAGCCAGCCACTTTTGATGCTTCAGTTCTGGAAAGATTGCCCCCATATTCACCCAGAATATACCCAATATAATCATGATAGCTGTTGCTAGTGTTCCTCACTCTCTCTCAATACAAACAGCATGATTAATGTCAACAGTTCTCAAATATGGGGCTCCAGGTGATCATAGACTACAACTCCCAGGAACCCTAGCCAACACAATGATCAGGTTACTGGAAATTGTTGTTCCAGAACACCTGGGCCTCCAATTTGAGAACCATGCTATACTTGCTCTACACCGCTTAATTAAGAATGATTCTCCAATATGCCATAGTGTTGAAGAATCACTGGCCTCATTGCATTGCCACACACGCGAACACAAATTTAAACTGGCTACTTAAACTAGCTAGTTTGCAACCTTCGGAATCAAATGAGGAGAAAAATATAAGACTGACTGTAGCTGCAACAAGGGAGTAAAAAAACGGACCGTAAATTACAGTTTTTCACTGAAATTTTTAGTGTCACTTTTAAAAAAAATTCTATTTTTATTCTGTTGGAACTGGGCTAATTCAACTCTAGAGGCAAAACAAAGAAGTCTGCATATCTGTCTGTAACAAATACAGTTTTCTCCAGTAATTAGGAAGCAGGACTAGTAAGAAACACAAAAGCTACAGAAAGAAATGAAGTCATTTGAGCAAAAAAGGATTACTAATGGCTAACAGCAAAAGACCGCACTCCAGATTAAGGCTTTCTGAAACAACCCTTTGTGCAGGATTTTTACTTAGTTTTTAAACAAAGCTATCCAATTATATATATTATAGATATATATAATATAATCTATTATTTTATATTATAATATTATAAAATGATATATTATAATATATAATTATAGTATATATAGAGAGAGTCTTCAGTTTTTAAATGTATTGGTTATTTTTAAAACCTGTGAACCTGTTTCATTTTAAAAAAATCAAAACAAAACAAAAAAGTTATTTTAAAAAAAATTGTAATTTTTTTTTCCTGGTCCAGGTAAGATGAACCTTTCTTGGAATAGGCACAGCAAATAGAAATTGAGTTATGTGTGTATGATTTGTGTTTGAAGTGTAATGGGCTTGACACGCCACATGAAACTTGTGCTAATTTAAGCCACTGCGATTTTCTAAGAGATTGCAAGCATACAGGGTGGAAATTTCACATACCTTGAGGACTTCCATTGGGACCTGAGTTGCAGGAGGAAGGCTTGCTGGGAGGCTGACGTTGATGGCTGGTGTCTGACTCACTGCCACTCTCTGTTGCATGAACTGAGCTGCTTGCTGTTTCTGTTGCTGCTCTCGGCGCTCTTGCTCCTGCAACTGCTCACGCATGAGCTGCTGGCGTAGCAAAATCCGTGATGTCATACTGGAGGAGCTTAGTGGAGGCTTGGAAGCGCCGGGGTGCTCTGAACTGCTGTGGGAAACACCAGAAGAGACAGATCGCTCAGTCACTCATCAGTTACATTGGTTGGAGTTTGAAGAATTATACTACAAGCGAGTTGGATGGAGAGATGGCATGCCCCAGCGGAAGGGAGGAAACAGCTTTGCAAATACGGACGGCTGATGGCAACGCTACAGACTGAGATTTGAAAAAAAGTGTATTTGTCAGCTTTGAGTTTTGTTCTCTGTTCACACAGAGGTACTATTACAATGGTACCTGTTCATTCACTATATTTGTACCATTTTAACTTAAAGCATTAGTCTGCTGGTTTTTTTAAGGACAGTATGGCACATCATGGCAGGGTTGAGGAATTCAATTTCTGGTCCCCAATGAACTGTGCAACTCAGAGCGGAAACCTTCAACGAGGCATTCTCTCCTCAGCCTGACCTACCACGCAGTCTTATTGTTAGGATGAAGGGGGGGGGAGAGGAAAGCCATGCACACACGTCCTTGAGTTCACTGCTGGAAAGATAGAATGTTAAGGGAACTAATAAAATAAAACAAAATCTAGTTGATTTTTTCCGTCCTTTCAGACAAGATATTGCTTGCTCACTTCTTTGGAAAAAGATCTGTTTACGCCACTGACCATGTCCGGACAGAAAAATGAACTACACAGTCCTGTTCATTTAGTATACTCAGATGTCAGGCCAATTGTGATCACATGAGCCCCCTCAAAATGATCAGTTGGGCTCTCTCAAGACGCTCGCAACAAATTATTTCCTACACTGCTGCTGTGAGCTTCTTGCTTAGACTTGTTCCACATATTAAAACAGTGGTTCTCAACCTTGGGTCCGCAGATGTTCTCGGACTATAACTCCCAGAAGCCTTCATCACCAGCTGCACTGGCCAGGATTTCAGGTAGGTGTAGTCCAAGAACATCTGGGAACCTAAGGTAGGGAACTAATCTATTAGAGAGAGACACAAAAAGTGCCACCAAAGTTTAAAGAGCAACCTGATAGGCTGATGTAACAGATTCGAATGAGAAAAAATAAACAGCATTCATTTGGGCCAGTCCAATACAACAGGCAAAGATGACTTTTTTGAAAGTTGCAAGGGAAGCCATGTGTACATACAGGGTTTATCTCTACATATCTTGGACAATTTCCTGGAATAACTTTTTTTTAAAAAATGCACTAAAACTTAGAACAGTATTCAAAACTACATGATCACAAGAGTAATAATAAACATTGCAACCTAAAAGTCAAGCATAAAGCAAGTACATTAACACATTTAGTACTACAGTAGTATTGCATAAAATTAAAAGTCAGATTCCCTGTACCAATTGCACAGTGTGTAATCACTGAAGCTCACCGTCAGTTATGTGCAGCTGATAACTTGTGTGCAAAGTTTCTCCAATCATCTTGGAAATAATTTAGTGCCTTGTTGCACATATTGGCAAGTAAGGCATTTTACATAAGGGAATTTTCCGAACTGAACATTAGGTTAAAGGTGAGGGTGTGTGTGTGTCTGTGTTTTAAGGAAAACCCTTTTAGTTTAGTTTTTTTCTTTCTTTTAATCAGTGGTCACTACTAGAGAACCATACAAATGTCTCAGCAAAGATAACATTAGAATAAGATTGCATCATTTAGATGCCGACATATATCTTGACAGATCTTACAAAAAAACCATTAGACTTTCTTAGAATAAGATTTATTGCCTTTAAAATGTCAGTCCTTCTAGGTGGTTAAAAATGCATCTGGTTCTGGAAATCCCTCGAATGCTGATCAACTGTTAAGATATCTCACAAGAAGCAAAACAAAAGAAAACAGGAAAGAATGAAATCTTGCCTTTGCAAATTACAGTATCTCCAAAGTTGCACCCTACCTATGTATAAAATTAATGCATTTCATTCCTTATATCAGTTATCCACAGTCTGAAACATAAGACACGCTCAAAGCAGGATCACACTGAGATTTTTCAGACCGCAAGCTATTTTTCCCCTACATTTTTTTTTCTTTCCAAAAGGATGGGGGGAGGTGGAGAGAATGATGACCATCTTACTATTTCAGCCCTGTCAAGTTGAAACATTCCCAGGGAGACTGATCCTTTTGATAAAATAAGAGAAAAACCTTTGTGGTGAAACTAACACAGCTGTGGAATAATCGCACTAATTAGCTGCCCAAGATAAGTCAGTGACTGGGATAGTCATGAAGGAAAAAAAAACTATTTTCATTTAAGAGTGAAGACTTCTCACATCCCACAAGGCATCTCTCAAGTTACCTTGCTTTTTGAGAAAGTGTGTATCTTAGTAGAACGGCTCTTGATTTCCACCCGACGAACAACATGTGTTATATAAATCTTGCGCCTGGCAAGTGGGAGAGGCAGGACAAGAGAAAGAGAAATGAGCACTTTGGCTTTATAGAAATCCTTAAGGGAAGGGAACTAGCAGCAATATCTAGCTGTTTGCCACTACTGTACTTCTTATCGATCAAGTTCAGCAGCACAGAAAATCCTTCAAACAACTGCTTATCCTTCATTTGTATGTGTGTATACATATATCAGAAGGAGACAGGTAGAACACGGATTTCTCGAAACAGTTTGCAAAACTTTAAATATTGTGTAAACATTTAATTATTTAACCATAATTAAATACAATAGTTTTGTACAGCAAAGGCATTGACAGAAGAAATATTTCAACAGTTGCTACTTAAAAGGTCTAGAGATCTCTCATCCAAAATCCAATCCAAAATATTCCAGTAGAGATGGAAGGGGGGGGAGAACAGATAGGTGAGCATCTTGCAAGTGTCTTGCATGGTTTGTTTGCTTTTTGCCTTGCTTTTTTTTTTTTTTTGCATTTCTGGGGGGTCTTGCATGGTTTGTTTGCTTTTCTTTCCCTCCCCCAGCTGGAATGGATTAATCACGTTACCGATGGGTTTTGCAATGGTATGGGGGTTTTTGTGTGTTTTTTTTGGTGATTTTTTTCCTTCAGCCAGAACGGATTAATTGCATTTCAATGCATTCCTATGGGAAATATTGCTTCAACTTACGACCATTTCGAGTTATGACTGGAGTTCCGGAACCCATTAAGTTCGTAAGTCGAGGCACCACTGTACTTGCAACTAGGCACCTAAAATTTTACCACTTCCATTCCCTAGAATGGAGCCCAAATATTTTTGCCTGCTTTTCATCAGCACCTCTAGAAACTAAGGTACCAACACAAACATCCCACGCCTGAAGAAATGGATTTATTTAAAATGGGAGAGTGTCAACTTTTTGAAGAATCATAAGTATTTATGTCTACTTATATCTGGCATACAAGATGTTGCATAAGTAGCTCCACAATGAAACCATACACTAGCATCAACAGCTCAGACAAAATATTCACCCTTAAGACACTAAATAATAATTAAAAAACAACTATCAAACATTGGTACAATTCTTCCGTCGTTCCACGTCCTTAGTGTGCATTGCCTTGTGATGTTTTAGCCTCCACTTTAATAGAGTGACACAACAAGGAAGTTTAAAGTCTGCCAGCAATTTGTCCTTGAGCCTTCCAGGAGATGAATCAAATGCAGAATTTTTTGAGGGGGCTACTTATTTGGACCACAGACTCTCAGATTCCCAGATTCTCAGCAAGTACAACCAGTTACAATAATTACAGGAAAACAACTTAGTCATAGATGGAACACACCCATGTAGATATTTGTGTAATAAAATATGTAGTGCTTTTGAACTGTGAAAACGGAAACACAGGCAAGCATAGATCTAAATTACACTTCTAGTTCTGATCCAAAAAAAAAAAAATTAACTTTCATTTGTTGTTGTTGTTTAGTCATGTCCAGCTCTTTGTGACCCCATGGACCAGAGCACGCCAGGCCCTCCTGTCTTCCACTGCCTCCTGGAGTTGTGTCAAATTCATGTTGGTAGCTTCGATAACTTTCATTAGGAAATATTTATCCCAGTTGCTGTGAGTCCCATCCCCCCCACAAAAAAAAATCTATTTAGCTGAATGCAATACAGAAACATCCACGGTTACTACTTCTGTACCAAAACACCTGAAGGATTTCAAATATGAAGGGATGAAAAGATTTGCTTGCAATGCGAGCCCTCCTTTTCTGCAATATAAAGCAAATTTAAAGCTAACCTTTGGGCTACTGCCTGAGTTCCCAAAACTAGTGCAAACAAGGAAGAAAAAAGTAACAGCTGATTTGTGGCTAAACAAGAACCATTTAGAGTTTGAACTAATGAATAAATGAGCATCAGCAGAGACCCATACAAGAAAATGTCATATGTGAAGATCAAGATTAGCAGCCCTGAAATTGGGGTGGGGGGTGTAACTGATGGCTCTCCTGTGTTGTATCACAAATGGAAACTAGAGAAGAAACTGGAAAAAGCTCTTTAAGGGTGCCTTCAGCTGAAAGGGAAAGCTTCTAAAGGTAAGCAGCCTATGAAGTATCAAATAGTGGTCTGAGGAAGTGGAGTTGATCTATAAATAGAGCACTTACTGTTTAAGATGGAATAAGGTTTCTGTCTCTTGTACTCTGTCTGTGTAAGAGAAAGTAGGTGTTTTGCCTGATATGCTTGCACAGACTAACAGGGCTACTTCTTCAAAACTGTTTTATTTATTTTATTATTTATTTATTTATTTATTTAATTTATACTCCGCCCATTTAGTCAACTGACTACTTTGGGCGGCTTGTTGTTGTTGTTGTTGTTGTTCAGTCGTTTAGTCATGTCCGACTCTTCGTGACCTCATGGACCAGAGCACACCAGGCCCTCCCGTCTTCCACTGCCTCCCAGAGTTGGGTTAAATTCATGTTGGTCGCTTCAATGACACTGTCCAACCACCTCATCCTCTGTCATCTCCTTCTCCTCTTGCCTTCACACTTTCCCAACATCAGTGTCTTTTCCAGGGAGTCTTCTCTTCTCATGAGATGGCCAAAATATTGGAGTCACAGCTTCACGATCTGACCTTTAAGTGAGCACTCAGGCTTGATTTCCTTTAGAATGGACAGGTTTGTTCTCCTTGCAGT